GAGGGGGTGGAAGGAGGAGACGGCGGTTCAGGGCGCGTGGAGGAAGGTGGTCCTCAACCCAATGGAGATCCCAGCTCGCGTAGGATGAGAGGAGAACCCCAAAATGACATCAAGGGGGGGTTTCTTGCTGCCCCCCAAGAGGAAATCCTGGTGGTGGTGGGCTGGGGAAGGTGGTCCTCAACCCAACGGAGATCCCAACTCGTGTAGGACCAGAGGAGAACCCCAAAATGACATCAAAGCGGGGTTTGCTTCCACCCCCCAAGAGGAAATCCTGGTGGTGGTGGGCTGGGGAAGGTGGTCCTCAACCCAACGGAGATCCCAACTCGTGTAGGACCAGAGGAGAACCCCAAAATGGCACCAAGGGGGGGTTCTTGCTGCCCCCCAAGAAGAAATCGTGGCGTTTCATGACGAAGCTCTCCTCCCCACCACCTCCTCCGCCTCCTTTGACCCCAAAATGAAGGCCGCGGCGTCCCTTACCGGCGGCTTCGCCGACGTGCCGCGGTTCCTTCAGGGTGGGGTGGTGCACCACGCAAACGTAGTCCTTCCCCTCCTCCCCCACCTCCAAGCGCAGGACGCTGAGGACGGAGAAGACCTCCCGGCCGGTGACGGGTCCCATTTTGGTACGGGCTTGGAGGTCTCTGCCCCCCGTCCACTGGAGGACGATGTCTCGGGGGGAGAAGTCGGTGACGTCGCAGAGGAGGAGGTCCCCTTGGGTGGCCCCGCCGGGGACACGGGTCACCGTCACATTCGGGGGCTTCTGGAGGTTGGCTGGGGTGGGAGAGGGGGGACACACCCTGAGCTGCAGGCCCAGGTGGGACCCCATATGGACCTGGTGACCCCATATGGACCTGGGAGACCCTATAGGGCCCTGGTGACTCCATGTGGGCCTGGGAGACCCTATAGGGCCCTGGTGACCCCATATGGACCCCATATGGACCTGGGAGACCCTATAGGGCCCTGGTGACTCCATGTGGGCCTGGGAGACCCTATAGGGCCCTGATGACCCCATATGGACCTGGAGACCCCATATGGACCCAGGAGACCCTATATGGCCCTGGTGGCCCCATACAGACCTGGAGACCCCATACGGACCTGGGAGACCCCATACGGACCTGGGAGACCCCATATGGACCTGATGACCCCATATGGACCTGGAGACCCTATAGGGCCCTGGTGACCCCAGAGATAGAGCCCTATACAGCCCCATATGGCCCCATATGGTCCCATAGAGTCCCATATGGTCCTATAGACCCCATAGAGCCCCATAGGGTCCCCTCTACTCACGGCCGGGCCCCAGGTGGACCTCCTTGGTGACGTTGCGGTGGCAGGGGACAGTGGCGTGGCAGTGCAGGTGGCGGCCGCCCAACCACTCCTCCAGGGTGACGGGGCGGGCGAGGAGAAGACCCTGGGTGCCGTTGGGGTGGCGGAGGAGGTCCCTCCCCATCTGCCCCACCCGGTCATCGTCCCAGGTGAGGGTGGCACCTTCTAGGTGCCACCCCAGGAGAAGACAGGTGACGGAGGCGGTGGCACCGGCCACGAGGTCGGCGTAGGAGGGTTGGGTGAGGTAGAGCTGGGGTGGGACGGGGGCGCCCACGCAGGCTGCAAGGCGGGGGAGAAGGTCCACCGTGGGGCACTGCTGGTGGCTCCCCATCCATCCATCCATCCATCCATCGTGTCTGGTGTCCATCCATCCCACCATCCATCCCACCATCCATCTGGTTTCTCCTCATCCATCCATCTCTGGTGGCTCTCCATCCATCCTTCTATCCATCCGGTATCTCCTCATCCATCCATCCATGTCTGGTGTCTCTCCATCCATTCATCCATCCATCCATCCCACCATCCATCTGGTTTCTCCTCATCCATCCATCTCTGGTGTCTCCCCATCCAACCATCCATCCATGTCTGGTGTCTCTTCATTCATCTATCCCACCATCCATCCATCCAACCATCTGGTATCTCCTCATCCATCCACCTCTGGTGGCTCTCCATCCATCCATCCATCCATCCATCCATCCATCCATCCATCCATCCATCCATCCATCCAGTATCTCCTCATCCATCCATCTCTGGTGGCTCTCCATCCATCCATCCATCCATCCATCCATCCAACCATCCATCTGGTTTCTCCTCATCCATCCATCTCTGGTGTCTCCCCATCCAACCATCCATCCATGTCTGGTGTCTCTTCATTCATCTATCCCACCATCCATCCATCCAACCATCTGGTATCTCCTCATCCATCCATCTCTGGTGGCTCTCCATCCATCCATCCATCCATCCATCCCTCCATCCAGTATCTCCTCATCCATCCATCTCTGGTGGCTCTCCATCCATCCATCCATCCAGTATCTCCTCATCCATCCATCTCTGGTGGCTCTCCATCCATCCATCCATCCATCCATCCATCCATCCATCCATCCAGTCATCCATCCATCCAGTATCTCCTCATCCATCCATCTCTGGTGGCTCTCCATCCATCCATCCATCCATCCATCCATCCATCCATCCATCCAGTATCTCCTCATCCATCCATCTCTGGTGGCTCTCCATCCATCCATCCAGTATCTCCTCATCCATCCATCTCTGGTGGCTCTCCATCCAACCATCCATCCGCCTGCTATCTCCTCAGCCATCCACCCATGTCTGGTGGCTCTCCATCCATCCATCCATCCATCCACCCACCCCACCATCCTTTCTTCCGCCCCACCACCCCCCCTTACCCGTGCACTTGCTGCTGTTGCGCGTCACCGCCCCTCCACCCGTCGCCCGCGACACTCTGCAGGTGTAGACGTCCCCTTTGTCCCAACTCTCCCGTCCGATCTTCAACTGACTCCTCGCCCCGGTCTTCTCCTTCCCGACGGTGGGAGACATCTCCTTCCCGTTCAACAACCAGGACACCTTCACCTGCTCCGCCGTGGGGCTCCAGACGCCGCAGAGGAGCTCCAACTCCACCTCATCATCTCCACACCGGGGTTCCACCAGGAAGACGCGTTCCTCCACCGCCGTCACCCCAACCGGCGCCTCCATCGGCTTACAATCTACGGGATGGAGGGCCACCACGATGTCACCCCCCTCACCCCAAATCCAACCCGTCCCACCACCCCCTGACCATCTCCTACCGTCCTTGGGCAACTGCAAGGAGTTGAGATTGGAAGGTCCATGGCTCACGTGGCACTGGGGGGGTCGGTCGCCGCTGGTGATGTTGACGGTTCTGCTGCTCACGTAGACGTTCTCCTTGGCCAACTGCACGGTAGCCAAAGCCACGGGGTTGGCGGCCACGGCGACGCTGGTGCCCGCCGGCGACACCCACTGGACGGTGGGGTCGGTGGTGGGGATGTTGGTCACCAAACAGACCAAAACGGTGGCACCGGTTGCTTGCTGGCAACAAGGAGCCACCAGGAAGGCGATGGGAGTCGTGTTTTTCTCTGCTGTGGATAAAGGGGAGGGATGGGGTGGGACTGGAGGACAACCACCCCACATACCCCTCCCAAAAAAAAGCCTGAGGAGCAGGTGGCCCCCCAAAAAACATCTCCAAGGAGTTCCCAACCCATCATACCCTCCCAAAAAAATCTCCAAGGAGCTTTGACCCACCAAAAAACATCTCCAAGAAGCACCCAACCCATTGCGTCCCCCCCCAAACATCTCCTAGGAGCATGGGGCACCCCAAAAAAGGTCTCCAAGGAGCACCCAACCCATCGTGCCCCCCAAAAATATCTCCTAGGAGGACGTGGCCG